AATAAAATAATTCTTTGAAAATTTTTAGAAAAAGAATTTTTGTGTGTAGGGTGGGCAGGTGTCATGGTGGTTAAGGGTGGTGGACTCCCACATGGCCAACCACGATTGAGTCCCAGACCTGGTGGCTTGCTTTATCACTTTCCCTCTCTCTCACTCTGTCCTTCTCTGGTCAAATTAAAATAAATAAAGTTATATAAAATAATTTTTAAAAAAAGAATTTTTGTGTGTGAGGAAGTATTTATAGATAGAGTTCTTTTTTTTTTTTTTTTTTTTTTTAATTTTAAGAGAGTTTTTTCCTGTAGGGCACAGCGACAGAAAGCAAGAAATCACCCCCCCAGGGGGAATGGCCACACCACCATTCTCTTGGAATCTTTGGTGCACATGCACCTGGTGTGAGTTTTAAGCTACCAGGTCCAGGACTCAGCTGCAGTCATTTACATGGGAATCCAGTGACCTAACCATTACACCATCTACTGGTCCCTGTAGATAGAGTTCTGACAACCTAGTCCATAGTATTCATGTGAACATCTTTTTTTTTAAGAGAGAGATTTTTACTATAGGGTGTATATGCTCGCCAGAGAGACACAAAGCGAGAAATCACCCCTTGTGGGTATGGCCACACCGCAGTCCTTTCTCCTTCGTTCTCCTCTTGTGATTTTGGGGGCACACATGCCCAGTGCGTAAGTTTTAAGTTACTAAATCCAGGACTCAGACTGTGGTCAACTGCTTGGAAGTCAAACAGCCTAACCATTACACCATCTTCTGTTCTCTCATGTGAACATCTTACTGAGTGTATATTCTTAAGTACTGTCAGTCACGCTCTTCTCTTTCTACACACATTTGGGATATTGCAGGACTCAGTAGCCTTTGAGGATGTGATTGTGACCTTTACACAAGAGGAGTGGGCTTTGCTGGATCCTTTGCAGAGGAGTCTTTACAGAGATGTGATGCAGGAAACCATCAGGAACCTGGCTTCCACAGGTAAGTATGACAACTTTCCATTACCTAGTCAATTGAGTGGAAGTGTTTTCTGATCAGCAGTGCTGTTCCAGGATTTCCAACATGAATCAGAAAATACTTGGGTGCATAAATGACATATGCTCACAGGCTACCTCAAACCTATATTCTAATATATTTCTGTAATTTTGTAATAATTTGTAGATTTTTGTGATTCTGTTTCAGAGGACAATCAGAGCATTGAAGATGAGTACACAAATGCCAGGAAAATTCTAAGGTAATTTGCATTGTTCACAAAACAAAATAATATTCCTAAAAAACCTGTCAGGAAATTTTAAAAACAGACAGGAACACGAACCCAGCTTTAAACTTATTTATTTCTAATAAATTATCTCCAAAATAGATACTTAACTGTGATAGCTGTTCATTGTTAAGAAAATAGTACACTGGGGGAAGGAGGACCAGCAGCTGGTGTGGTGGTTAAGTCGCTGGAATTCCCACATGGCCAACCGTGGTTTGAGTCCTGGACTTAGTGGTTTGCTTTCTCAATCTCTGTCTCTCTGGTAATACTTATTTGAAAATAAATAAATAAATAAATAAAATATACTTAACTGTGATAGCTGTTCATTGTTAAGAAAATAGTACACTGGGGGAAGGAGGACCAGCAGCTGGTGTGGTGGTTAAGTCGCTGGAATTCCCACATGGCCAACCGTGGTTTGAGTCCTGGACTTAGTGGTTTGCTTTCTCAATCTCTGTCTCTCTGGTAATACTTATTTGAAAATAAATAAATAAATAAATAAAATAATAAAATATATTGTAATACTCATGTGAAAATAAATAAATAAATAAATAAATAAATAAAATAATTCTTTAAACAAAGCAAAATAGGGGGCTGGCAAGTGGCATGGTGGTTAAGGGCGCTGACCTCCCACATGGCAGACTACAGTTCAAGTCGCAGATCTGGTGGGTTGGTTTCTCACTTTCTCTGTCTTCCTCTCTCTCGCTCTGTCCTTCTCTGGTCAAATTTAAATAAATAAAGTTAAATAAAACAATTTTTAAAAAATAGTGCACTTGGAAATAGTAATTAATAAATGTGTATAAATATTCACTGCTTTGATAATAGCTGTGGTTTAACCTGGTTGCCAGGCAATCCATCCGTGCATACTCAAACAACTCAGTATGTAAAGTCTACTCTTTGCCTGTTCTTGGTAACAATGTGTGTCTAGTACATACTAATAATAGAAAAGTATTAATACACAAATCCTTATAACATGTTTTTAATTCTTTACAGAAGTTATATGGTAGAGAGACTCTATGAAAGGAAAGAAGGTAGTCAGTGTGGCAGAACCTTCAGCCATGTTCCAGACATGAATCTGAATGAGAAAACTCTTGGAGTAAAGCCACAGAAAAGCAGTGCATATGAAGAAGACTTCATTGTTCATTCATCTCTTAATAGGCATGTCATTACTCATAAAGGACAGAAATTATATAAGCATAAAGAATGTGGAGAGAAGCCATATAAACAAAAGCAACTTGAAAAAGCCTTTATTTCTCCCATTAGTGTGAGAAAGCCCATGAAAACACAAAGCAGAGATGGACCTTATATATGTAAGCTATGTGGGAAAGCCTTTGATTATCTCAGTTTATTTCACTTACATGAAAAAACTCACACCAGTGAGAAACCCTATGAATGTAGGCGATGTGGTGAAGCCTTCCCTTCTTTTGCTTCTGTTCGAAAACATGAAAAATCTCACACTGTAGAGAAGCCCTATGAATGTAAGCAATGTGGAAAAACCTTCCGTTCTTTTACTTCCACTAGAAACCATGAAAAAACTCACACCGGAGACAAACTTTATGGATGTAAGAAATGTGGGGATGTGTTCACTTGTCTCGCAAACATTCAGACACACATGCTATTGCACCATGGATACGAACGTTATAAATGTAAGGTGTGTGGGAAAGCGTTTGATTTTCCCAGTGGCTTTTGTATCCATGAAAGAACTCATAATGGAGACAAACCCTATCAGTGTAAGCAATGTGGGAAAGCCTTTAGTTTTTCCACTTCCTTTCGGAAACACGAGAGAAGTCACACTGGAGAAAAACCGTACAAATGTGAGATATGTGGAAACACCTTTAGTAGTTCAAGTGATTGTCGACTACATGAGCGAACTCACACTGGAGAGAAACCCTACGTGTGTAAGCAATGTGGGAAAGCCTTCGCCCGTTCCAGTTACTTTCGAAGGCATGAACGGACTCACAGTGCAGAGAAACCCTATGGGTGTAAGAAATGTGGAAAAGCCTTCACTTGTCTTTCAACCATTCAGAGACACATGATAACACACACTGGAGATGGTCGTTACAAATGTAAGGTATGCGGGAAAGCCTTTGATTGTCTGAGTTCATTTTATATACATGAAAGAATTCACACCGGAGAGAAACCTTATGAATGTAAGCAATGCGGTAAAGCGTACAGTTGTTTCAGTGACTGTCGAAAACATGAAAGAACTCACACGGGAGAAAAGCCTTACGAGTGTAACCAATGTGGGAAAGCCTTCAGTTGTTCCAGTTCCTTTCGAAGACATGAAAGAACTCACACTGGAGAGAAGCCCTATGAGTGTAAGGAATGTGGGAAAACTTTCAGATATTCCAGTGACTTTCGAAGACATGAAAGAACTCACAGTGGAGAGAAACCCTATGAATGTAAGGATTGTGGGAAAGTCTTTATTTATTCCAGTTCCTTTCGAGTGCATGAAAAAACTCACACTGGAGAAAAACCATACGTATGTAAGGAGTGTGGGAGAGCGTTCAGTTTTTTTAAATATTTACGAATGCATGAAAGAATTCATACTGAAAAGAATGCCTAAATAAAGAATTAAGGAAGGTTTTATTATCACACAACCTTCCTACCACACAGGAAAACACTAGAGACAAAAGCTTTTAGTCTTTCCGTTTAAATTGAAAGTCATGGAAGAAACTACAGAGAGAAACCTCTTGAAAAGCAGCAATGTGCACATGTCTTCAGTTCACACCGAAAATTGAACAGTGGATCAAAACTTCATAATGTGAAAAATAAAAGAAAGTTCTCAGTTTTACTAAGACATTCTTCCAAAATCATTTGAAAACAAATAGAGAAAACTCTTGTAAATGTTAAAAAAAAAAAAAACTTGAGGCAAAGTCACTTGTTTAGAATATTCCAGAAGATAAATAACCCAGAAGAGATGTAAAAATTATAAATATATTTATCAGTAGTGAAATCTTGTATTGGATTTCTGTGCTATAGATTTTTCTTTTTTATTTTTGCTATAGGTTGTGTGTGCACACTGGAGACAGAGTAGGTGAGAAATCACCCCCAGTGGGGGTGGTCATGTCACACAGTCCCCTCTCCTCTATTATCTTGAGATTTGGGGCATGCATGTGCACATGCCTGGTGTGTTTTTCAAGCCACTGGGTCTGGGACTCAAACTGTAGAGTTGGCCATGTGGGATCTAGCCACCTTAACCACCACACCAGTGACAGGCCCTGGATTTCTAATTCTTACTCTTTAAAACTTGAGGTGATATAATTCTGTAAATACTGTGTAAGCAATAGTGTATGAGTTTAACAGGTAGTGTTGTTTTAAATCAGTTAATAAAATTTATCTTCCATTTCAAAGTGTGGATTCATGGGTAAATTAAAATAAAATTTCTAATATGCAGGCAGGCTTTTTAAAAACATGGTTATTTTGAGACCAGCAGGTACCATAATGGCTATGTCGCTGAACTCCCATGTAGTCAACCGCTTCAAGTCCCGGACCTAGTGGCTTAAACTCACGCTGGACATGTGTGCCTAAGAACCTGAGAGGAGAATGGAGAAGGAAGGATTGCAGTGTGGCCATCCCCCCTGGGGGATGATTTCTCACTTTCTGTCTCTCTGTTTCTCTCTGTCTCTGGTGGGTGCACATGGCCCTGTAGCAAAAACCTCTCAAAAAATAAAAAAAAGAAAAAAAAAACATGATTATTTAATAATCTGTGACTAATTGCCATTGAAAGATGAGTTTTTCACCTTGCCTCATGGTATGTTTTCAGTCTTTCTTATCCTTTTTACATATTCCACCTCTTAAGTTTTTTTAAGAAATTTTAGGGCTGGCAGGTGGTGTGGTGGCTAAGGATGCTGGATTCCCATGTGGTCGACTGCAGTTCAAATCCCAGACCTGGTGGCTTGCTTTCTCCCCCTTCCTTTCTCTGTCTCTCTCTATCTCTCTGGTCAGATTAAATCATAATATGTGGAATTAAATAATTATTTTTTAAAAAAATAAGTATTTTATTTAACTTTATTTTTATGTGACCAGAGAGGAACAGAGTGAGAGAGAAAGAGAGAGAGAAAGTAAGAAAGCAAGCCGCCAAATCTGGGACTCAGGCCACAGTTGGCCATGTAGGAGACCAGTACCCTTAATCACCATGCCACAGCCGGCCCCTGGAAAACACTTTTTTTTTTTTTTTGCACAAAGGTTATTCCATTTTCTTTGCTAGTAAATAAGTGTTCTTATAAGAATGTAAAATTCAGGGTCAGTGGGTGGCGTGGTGGTTAAGAGTGCTGGATTCCCAGATGGCCGACCATACTTCAAGTCCTAGACCTGGTGGCTTGCTTTCTCACTTTCTCTGTCCCTCTCTGGTCAAATAAAAATAACTAAAAGTTAAATAATTCTTTAGAAAAAATTTTTAAAAAAATAAAATTCATCATACACTCATGTGAATTATTTTCATCTTTTGCCCTCTTTATTTCTATTTCTGAGATAATTGATTTAAGAGCAATTTGTGATTAGATACTTAAATATAGAATGCAAGGTCAGCAGGTACTGGACTCCCACATGGCTGATTGTGGTTCTAGTCCTGGACCTCGTGACTTGCTTTCTCACCTTATTTCTCTTTCTCTCTCCCCTCACCACTCTGATCAAATAGAAATGAATGAATAAATAAAGTTAAGTTTTAAAAAAAATCTTTAAAAAGTTCCAGTTACTTATCTGGATATATATAATTTTTTTAAATAACAATTTTATTTATTATTATTTTTTAATTTGACCAGAGAGACAGAAAGAGGAACTGAGAAAACAAGCCCCAGGTCCAGGACTTGAACCGTTGCCGGAAATTTGGGAGTCCAGCACCTTAACCACCATGCCACTAGCTGAACCCTGGATATATAATATTATTGATGGTGATTTTTAAAAAGAATTACTTAATTTTATTTATTCACTAATTTTAATTTGACCACAGAGAGAGGAATTGAGAAAGCAAGTAACCAGGTCCAGGACTTGAACCATGGTCGATCATGTGGGAGTCCAGCACTTAAGCAGCACACCACCTGCTGGCCCCTACAGTTTCTGTTTTACTGTAAGTCCCAATGTGTGTACCAGACAACCAATTCAGTTTCTCATGGTTCCTGTTATTCTGTGATGCTGTGATTCCTATAGCCTACAGGTTGAATGAGTGTGACTAATTTGTGTAGTAAACTCTTGTTCAGACTGGTAAAAACTTGTTAACTCAGCATGACAAGTAAAATGAAATCTTCAAAAACCACTAGTTGGGAGTTGGTGCCTCTTCACCACTGTATGGTGGGTGACTGGTTTCACCCAGTATTTTCTTTTTTAAAAAAAGAATTATTTCATTTAACTTTATTTATTATTATCATCATTATTATTTTCCAGTTTGATCAGAGGGAGAGAGAGGAAGTGAGAAAGCAAGCCACCAGGTCTGAGACTTGAACCGTGGTCGGCCATGTGGGAGTCCGGCGCCTTTAACCACCATGCCACTTGCCGGCCCCTCATCCAGTATTTTCTAGTAAGAATAATCACCTTGTCTTATCAGGAAGATAGGGATGTGTTATTTTATAGCTCAGTGTAATACTTCGGTTCATTTTTGGTTATATTTGTTATGTGTTGTATTTTCAAACAAGATTTCTAAACTTTTTTTTTTTTTTTTTGCTGGAGAGTATATGAATGTGCCAGAGAGAGAGAGAGATGGAGGCAGAGGGGGAAAGCAACATTCTACTTGGGCTTGGTCATGTTGCAATCCCTTCTCCTCCGTTACTTCATGCTACCTGGGATTTGCATGCATACACACACATGCCCATTGTGATTTTCAAGCTACTGAGGTTGGGATCCAAATTACGTGGTCAACCATGTAGGATCTGGTTTCCTTGAACACCAGGCCAGAGTTGACTTTCTATCTTATTACCTATTTTCCAACAGCATACATACTAAATGTTATGGTCTTTGTTATTGGAAAGTTATATTAGGGACCAGCAATTGGTGTAATGGCTATGTCACTGGACTTCCATGTAGTGAACCACAGTTTGAGTCCTGGATCCGGTGGCTTAAACTCACACCGGGCCCGTGTGCGTGCGTGCCCAAGATCCCAAGGAAAATGGAGGAGAAGGGATTGTGGCGTGGCCATCCCCCTGGGAGGGCGTGATTTCTCACTTTCTCTTTCTGGCGAGCGCACATGCCCTATAGCAAAAACCTCTCAAAACAAACAAACAAAAAATACTCATGCCATGATGGAGACCAACAGGTGACATGGCAGTTAAGAGCACTAGACTCCCACATAGCCAACTGTGGTTCAAGTCCCATACCTGGCAGCTTGCTTTTTCTCTTTGTGTCCCTCTTTTATCAAAAATGTAAAAATAAATAAAGTTAAATAAAATACTTCTTAAAAATAAATAAATAGGGACCAGCAGTTAGCATAATGGCTATGTCGCTGGACTCCCACATAGTCGACTGTGGTTCGAGTCCCGGACCCGGCGGCTTAAACTCACACCAGATGCATGTGCGTGCATGCCTAAGATCCCGAGAGGAGGAATGGAGGAGAAGGGATTGTGGCATGGCCATCCCCCCTGGGGGGTGATTTCTCGCTTTCTGTCTCTCTGTCTGGCGAGCGCATGCACCCTATAGCAAAAACCTCTCAAAAAATAAAAAATAAAAACCTCTTCCCCCCAAAAAATAATTTACTGGGTCCAGCAGATGGAAGAGCAGTTATGCTGCCAGATTCCAATATGGCTGACCACAGTTCAAGTCCCAACCCAAAATGGGTTGAAAACTGTGGCTTGAAACTCATGCTAAATCCATGTGTGTGTGTGCCCAAGATCTCAGGAGGAGAAGGGATTGCTGTTTGACCATTCATTCCCCGGGTGATGATTTCTCACTTTCTCTGTCACAAAGGTTATTCCATTTTCTTTGCTAGTAAATAAGTGTTCTTATAAGAATGTAAAATTCAGGGTCAGTGGGTGGCGTGGTGGTTAAGAGTGCTGGATTCCCAGATGGCCGACCATACTTCAAGTCCTAGACCTGGTGGCTTGCTTTCTCACTTTCTCTGTCCCTCTCTGGTCAAATAAAAATAACTAAAAGTTAAATAATTCTTTAGAAAAAATTTTTAAAAAAATAAAATTCATCATACACTCATGTGAATTATTTTCATCTTTTGCCCTCTATTTCTATTTCTGAGATAATTGACTTAAGAGCAATTTGTGATTAGATACTTAAATGTAGAATGCAAGGTCAGCAGGTACTGGACTCCCACATGGCTGATTGTGGTTCTAGTCCTGGACCTCATGACTTGCTTTCTCACCTTATTTCTCTTTCTCTCTCCCCTCACCACTCTGATCAAATAGAAATGAATAAATAAAGTTAAGTTTTTAAAAAAATCTTTAAAAAGTTCCAGTTACTTATCTGGATATATATAATTTTTTTAAATAACAATTTTATTTATTATTATTTTTTAATTTGACCAGAGAGACAGAAAGAGGAACTGAGAAAACAAGCCCCAGGTCCAGGACTTGAACCGTTGCCGGAAATTTGGGAGTCCAGCACCTTAACCACCATGCCACTAGCTGAACCCTGGATATATAATATTATTGATGGTGATTTTTAAAAAGAATTACTTAATTTTATTTATTCACTAATTTTAATTTGACCACAGAGAGAGGAATTGAGAAAGCAAGTAACCAGGTCCAGGACTTGAACCATGGTCGATCATGTGGGAGTCCAGCACTTAAGCAGCACACCACCTGCTGGCCCCTACAGTTTCTGTTTTACTGTAAGTCCCAATGTGTGTACCAGACAACCAATTCAGTTTCTCATGGTTCCTGTTATTCTGTGATGCTGTGATTCCTATAGCCTACAGGTTGAATGAGTGTGACTAATTTGTGTAGTAAACTCTTGTTCAGACTGGTAAAAACTTGTTAACTCAGCATGACAAGTAAAATGATATCTTCAAAA